TAAAGAATACCTGCTTAATAGTCTGCCGACCATTGAGTCTTCAATTCCGGCTTTTCACGGCATCAGGACAAAGCCCTGGTGGGAACAGGGGCCCAAGAAAGCTCATTTTAACATTCAAGGATGACCTCCTGCAAGCTCAGGAGCGATGCATCCCAACAGAGAAGTCACCCAGAAACGGCAGGAGGCCTCCGTGGATGAACAAGGAGCTCCTGGACAAACTGAAGCAGAAAAAGGAAGCCTAGAGAGGGTGGCAGCAAGGGCAGGTAGCCTGGGAGGAATACAGAGAAATTGCCCGAGCAGCCAGGGATCTGGCTAGGAAAGTTCAAGCCCTGACAGGATTAAATCTGGGCAGGGGTGCCAAGGGCAGCAAGAAAAGCTTCTCTAGGTATGTCAGTGATAAAAGGAAGACTAGGGAAAGTGTGGGCCCTCTCTGGAAGGACACAGGAGACCTGGGTACCCGGGATGGAGAGAAGGCTGAGGGACTCCACGAGTCTTTTGCCTCAATCTTCACCAGCGAGTGAAGGAGGAGGTGCAGGGGAGGGCACCCACGGACACAAGCAAGAGCCTCCTCTTTGGAGAAAACCAGGGAGAGAAAACGCAGAGGGAAAAGGCCAGGTCAGTCCCCTTGAGACCACGTTGCCTGGGGTCCCTGGAGGGCGACGTGGATTGGGGACGGGGCTGGGAAGGGCTGTGGGGAGAAAGTCATTGCCAAAACTGTTGGAGGACCACGAGCGAGTTCAAGTGAGGGAGAATGGGGCAATCCCACGTTTCTGGGCCGGGGAGGGGGTCCCTGGGATGCTGCCATGTCCGGTCCTCGGCCCACGGTGTGTCCCCAGCTGTTGTGTCCCCGTGTCACAGTGTGAGGTGCCATGCCCTGCAGCAGGGTCACAATGGCCGGGCCCCATACCTGCCCCCGGGAGCTGGTGCTGCCCCAGTTTCTGGTGGCATTCGCGGGAGGAGGACCTGGAGAGAGCTGTGTGTCCCTCCAGGGGATCCTGCTGCCAGGATGATGAGGAGAGCGCTCCGAGCACTCCGAGGTGAGAGGCCGGGGGGAGGCTGGGGGCTGCTGCCTGCTGGGGGCTGCGTCCCCGTCCCGGGTGGGTGCTGGGGGCTGCGTCCCCGTCCCGGGTGGGTGCTGGGGGCTGCGTTCCCGCCACCTCTCATTCTGCTGCCGGGCACCTCTGAGAGCGCTCTGGCTCCATCCTCTGCCTGCCCTCCGTGGGGCAGCTGGGGCTGCCCAGCCCTCCTGTTCCTCTCCCATGGGGCAGGGCCCCACGTCCATCCCCTGCCCAGCTCGGGGTCCCCACTGCTGTGCTGGCACTGGGCCCAGTCTCCCACTGTGGTCTTCCCAGTGGCGCCGCAG